GATTACATATAATGATTACATATAATGATTACATATAATGATTACATATAATGATTACATATAATGATTACATATGCATATTATGATTTCCTTCAAAACCTACATTGTAGTCAAACTTGGATGCAATGAAGCATTTACTTCCTTTAGCACTCTCAATTTGTATTTAAAAAAACCAGCTTTTTCACAACTTTTCACAAATCTCTGCTCATGAATATACAACTTATTTGGAAGAATAAATAAAATGAATGAGAAATCAAACACATTACTTACAATTTTGGATGTATCACTAACGACCGGATACTTTTCTTATGATTGGTTAAAGTACATCTTGTTTTACCAGCAGCTAAGTCCCACAGTCTTACTGTACAATCATGACTGCCACTAATAATCTACACATGATAGGAAACGATAAAAGATAATTCCTATTGCACAAAGAGCACCCTCATAGTAAGAGACACACAAATGTCAGTAGCGCCATCATATGGTGAAAAAGTGAAAAACTTTTGTTTTATGTTGTTTCTCTCCAGTTACGCATGTATGTTTAATTAGCACATTTTTCATCAAAATTAAGATACAAATGTGTATATAGAAATAATGATTTGAATAATCTACCGTAAAGTGGAGAAAACTTTACAGAATATTCTTTTACCAATTAGTGATAAGTATATTGGTTAGTTGTTGCATTGGACAATTGATTTTGAACAGCTGATTTCAAACCAAATTCATAACATAGCAAATACTTAACTTCAATGCAATACTTGGGTCAGCAATGTGTAATATACAATGTAATGTGTCATAATGTTGAGGAACAAAGTAACATCTAAAAGCTCCAGAGATACAGAACTACAACGGTGCAACGACTGGTTTAATTATGATCAGTTCTGCATTTGTACACATACCTGTGGTTCAGAAGCCTGACATTTGACATCAGCGACTGTATTAGTGTGTCCTGTCAAGGTGTGTACACATGCTTTTGTCCTCATATCCCAGACACGTACTGATGCATCACGTGAGCACGTCACTAGGACATCTATCGTAGGATGGATATCCAAGCCATAAACAGCACTGAGATGTCCGTGATAATGTCGAATAACCTGAAAAAGAATCCAAACATGACTCTGTTAAGTGATGAGCAGGATTGTCAATGAGCTTTAGTTAATACTATTGTAATTAAAAATTAGTTATCTTTGTAGTCATCACTATATTTATGGTTTGATAAGATAATTACTAATTTTGTGTCACATTCAAATGCTTTCCTTTGTGAACATTGAAGAGGAGCAAGGGGGAAAGCTGGTACAGGTTACAGAAATTAAAAAAATGCATTTTACGTAAATGCATTTACAGTAAAAAAATAGTTTTTTACACTTTACAGGTAAAGCAAATTCCTAATTAAATTTTACATTTTTATAATATACATGATAATTTGTGTTTAAGAATCAAAATTAAAAATTGCGTATGAATTACGACATTTGATGTTGAAAAAGCTTTATAACGCTTACAAAAAATAAGATCTTTGTACAAATTAGAAATGAATAAAATAGCTGATTACATTTTACACCTTGTCCATGTCTACGATATTACGTTTTATATATATATTTTTACATTATTATGAAAATAAAAACAATTGATTACAGCTTATAAAAAATATCCCTTGCCAACCCTCATTGAATACATAAGCACTATTATAGCGTGTGACAGAAATGGAATCCTATTACTGAATGCAAAAGTTTACATGATGCAAAATGTTTAGTTGCCATTTCCGGCTGTCATGTATTATTAAATTATTATTACGAGGGAAGAAATGTAAAGGTTATCCTGAGTATGAAAATACATTGACCTCCTCTCCGGATTGGTTGATACGATTGTCTTATTGTGTTTAAGCATATTTTGTGGTATTTTTGTAATTACCTCATAGTATAGTTCACTTGTATCAAAAGTAGTTTAGAACATTTTGTACAAAATGTTAACTAGCAACATGAGACATGATGTCTAATTATTTACCACAGTTTGGGTGTAAAACAACTGAAATGATTAAACAGAACTAGGACATTTAAAAACAAGCAGCCTGTCGAAATACCTCCGCTGTTAGCAATGCACATTTCAATTAAAGAACATAAAATATCATTAGAAAATGAAAAATATGTACAGTATCAAAGCAACTGGACTCACTGTTTTGAACAAAAATTAAAAAATATTACTCTTCACCAAAAGTGACAAAAATATTCATCAAAAAAGATATCACCATGGAAATAACAAATCTGAAAGAGGTCCACATGTAGTACATATATGTATAATATCAAAGCAATTGGGCTTTCGGTTTTCAACAAGAAGTCGAAAATATCACTTTTTACCAAAAAAGACAAAAAATATTCATGAAAATTAGAGAATTGAAGATATCATGAAATGAACAAATCTAAGAGAGGTCTACCTAAGGTACATACATGTATACACTAAGTATCAAAGCATTCAGGCTTGTAGTTTTCAATAAGAAGTCGAAAAAGTAAAACATTGACATGGATGACGGTTGATGAACAATCACTCATATGATAAGCTTCGCTCGACAAAGTCGACAGCGGAGCTAAACAAGCAGCCTCTCGGCTGAGATAGCTCCGCTGTTATCATTAGAAAATGAACAATATGTAGACTTGCTGTTTTTAACAAGAATTCAAAAATATCACTTTTCACCAAAAATGACAAAAATAATCATTAAAATTAGATAATTTAAGATATCACCACGAAATTAACAATCTGAAAGAGGTCCACATGTAGTACCTATATATGTAATATAAAAGCAATCGGACTTGTGGTTTTTAACAAGAAGTCGAAAATATCACTTTTTACCAAAAAAAGACAAAAATATTCATCAAAATTAGAGAATTGAAGATATCATCATGAAATGAACAAAACTGAGAGAGGTCCACATGTAGTATACATATATGTAATATCAAAGCAATTGGAATTGCGGTGTTTAACAAGAAGTCAAATATATCATTTTTTACCAAATATATCACTTTAAAATATTCAAAAATATTCATCAAATTAGAGATTTGAAGATATCATCATGAAATGAACAAATCTTAGAGGGGACCACATGTAATACCTATATATGTA